GAGCTCAAAAAACGATTACCGGACCCCGCACCAGGGAGGAAGTTTCTAAGAAAATAACAAAGGGTCTATCTTAGTTTGAGTTGTTTTTCTGGTGCAGAATTTTAAACTACGAACTTCTGGATCAGAACTCCCCACTTTGACATTAACTCCTTAATTTGTTCTCACCAAAAATAGGAGGTGGTCCCAACCTGCGCGGAGATTAAATTTCACAGAACAGCTGATTTTAATTCCTGTTTCTTCTAAGAAGATGACTTAATTTCGATCAGATAAGACGTGGTAAAAATAATATTTTCTTTGGTAACATTGAGAAAAGTTAATTTCGCTATTCATTGCACGGTTATAACTTTATTGAAAGTTAAAAGGCTTAACAACTTTTCACGGCGCTTTACCAACAAGAGGAGCTATATCAAAAGTTTTTATATTTCTCTAAACAAAATATTGGGTGTTCTGGATTACGCATAAAAATAGAAGACTTAATGTAGTACATGCGTGTGATATTAAAGGCCTAACGTACTCGTAGGATTTGGTAGATAATTGCTTGAACTAAATAGTCAATGCTCATAAAGTCGTTATGGCATCTAGATAAAAAACAAGTATTAAAATTACTTCAATACCTACCAATCACACAGGGATATTTGTGCAATTATGATTAGATAGGCACTTGTACCATTCAAAGCTTTGTTCACTAGAAATTCAGAACGTGAACCAAACATCATTCACAAATGTATTTACTCCATGAACTCTTCAACATTACGATTATGAAATGGAGCGTATTTCACTAAACATCACAAGTATCACAACAGGGTATTATATAGCAACTGTTCTCTATGTATTGATAACAGCTCATACCGATTAGCCTTATCAACGGTTTAGCACATTCGTCGTAAAATAGCTTAGCAAACGAAAGCACTTCTACGCCGACAAAAGCATCATTTTACCATTAGGATATTGTTTATTTATTTACGGCTGCAAACAGTAACTGATTCTGATATTGCCCACGGGATTGCAGAATTCTAGCAATATAAAATGCAATGAATTTATAAAGCTCTATCTTTAAAGTCTGCTATTTAAAAAAAGGAAAACTTATTCATTGGTAATTCGAAAGTTAACATTGATACTTGAAGTAAAATCTAACAACGTCAAGATTTATCTAAAATTCTTTGACTAAAGCAGAGCGGAAAGTTGAAAATTAGAAAATCTGTGAACTAACTCTTAAATCTAAAAGCTTAAATCCCAAGTGGGGTGTTCAGTGAAATACGAAGCCGACCGCGTGGGCACAGTATACACGTCACTAACAGTACGTCCACTGAAACGTTTGTCAAACATTATGAATGATACTTTATGGTTATCATATAATGTTTGTCTGATAGACTAAGAGCTAGTGAACGCCAGACCTACGTCATTTTATAAAAGCTGAAAGTTTGTCAGCGTATGCTCCCAATATAGGTTAGAATGTTGGTGAATCATGAAGTTTGGGTCATCGTGGCTTTGGCAGTTATCCTAAAAAAACTGTCTGGCAAGGAGTTGGAACTGTCAAAACTGTCTGGCTGATGAAGAAACTACTTCTAATTATTGCCCAAATATTATCTATATATATAAAAATGAAACCCGTTTCGCGTTGTCACGGCATCACGTGTGAACGGCTGAACCGATTTCGATAATTCTTTTTTTTAAATGTTTGTGGAAGTCCAAGGATGGTTCTTACGGAAAAAAATATTAAGAAAATCTCTACGCTAAGGCGGTACGAAGTTCGCCGGGTCAGCTAGTTGTATATAAAAATCAGCTTTTATGGTATAACGGTTTTCTAAAATGACGTAGGTCTGCTGGTCTTAGTCTATGATAAAAATAGAACTCATAATTTTACGGCACGCCAACTAATTCGTACAAATAAGTGTTTGTGTGAAAAGCTCCAATACATTTCCAGTTTTTTTACGACTGACCTACTGCTACAAAAATGAAAATGTCTGCTGTGGCTGCGGCTAGCTAAGTCGGCTTTAGCGCTAAGCGTTAAGTTCAGCAACAATAATTGTGATTTTACTGAGAATTAGGCACTAAGTTACCCGTGTTACCTTTATTAAGTGTGAAATGCTTTTTACAATCCATTTTTGACATGGGATTTTTTGTGACTGAATTAATTTTTTAGAGGACCGTCCAACAATTCATGAATGAAAGACGATTCAGTAAATCTGCAGTACAGTTGAAAATGTAAATATTTTTAGGAATATAAATAAAATTCAGTTGGATAGCACATTTATCTACTCGAAATCGCTTTTACGAGGACGCTAAGCTCGGTGTCAGACCAATATTTTTGAAATGTTCAGTTGAAAATGCGACAGACGCATATCGGGAGAGGGCTTGGTCGGAATTTAGATGGTATTTCTATCGAGTACGGTCGAAATTGGTTTACAGGATTTGGATTGCGTTTGAATTTGTTTGTCAGTGGTGAACGCAGATTATGCGAGTGTACATATTCGAGCACTGTCGCTGGAGCGTGGAGAGCCGCTGAAACGTACATGATTGGCTACCGGTTAATTACGAACCTGGCTACACAGAACACCTCAACCATCCAGAGATAAAATTTCTGTCGATTTTGACTAAAAACCAAACTCGTAGTTCATTAGAACCAGAAATATGGAAATATGAATGGGAACCAATTAAAAAAAATGGTATACTGGGATATTATTACTGGGATCGCAAAAGCTGCCATATACAATGAGTTTTATTAGTAATTTATATGCCCTGTGAAAGGTAACTACAAAATCTATAGCATACTTAACTATTTAGAGAAAGATGTAAAACTTCGTTTTGAATTTATATTTCATACTTAGAAGAAACTAGTTTCTTGTGAGTCAACTTAAAAAGCAAATTAAAGCAACTTAACATCACGGACGGACTATTCTCCAAACTTTTTAGGGCTATAATTATTTGATTGATGTACTTAATGTAAGTTAGAAGACTTGAGTTCAAAATTTGTTTTTTATTCAAAAACTTACCCGTAATAATGTTATACTTCAGTCGACAGCAAACTACATGGTCTGCTGCAAAATAATGTTCAACATAGTGTTCCATCGTCCGTAAATATTAATAAATAATTTCTTTTAAAAATCTCTATGTTGCAGTTAAAATCGTATCAACATCCTTTGCGTAATTAAGAAGTAATTCACTATCGCCAGCCTTTTTTTAAGTGTCTTTTACTTAAAAAGCTGGTGTAAATATTTTTATGAGGCAGGTGAATGATTACCGTCGCCTATAGACACCCGCAGGCCCAGGGGCATCTTAGAAGTGTCCTACACGAAATACTGCCGTCACATCAACAGATTCGTATAGCTAACATATCGGTGTTCAAAGCCCCAATGCGTATTGAAATTGGTCATTTGTCGAACTCCCCTACCCGTGCAGAAGTTCGAAACTTCGAACCATGAGGGTGGCTGACCACGGACGATGCGTCATTATTACAGACAATACTGCATTACATATAACTATAGATATAGGTATAGGTAAATCATAACAAGCAGTTGGGGCATCGACGAGCTCGCTTTTTAATAGAACGTTTCGAGAGAACGAAATACATTCGAATAAATTCACAGCTGGACGGTCGTTAAGGCATATTTGTACACTGGAAAAGTTTTCTCGCAGTTAGTCGTTATTTCATAAATTGTGATTAATGCGCGTTGCATTTTACTCGTACGTGAAAACGAAAGTAATAAAATCACGAATAAAAAAAAGTGACTCTTCTAAAGTTTTAAGTTTTTGTAATTGGTGGCATAAAGTAAAAGCTTGATACCTAGGTACTTTGCAAGTCTGAGGCAATTACCCTTTAAAATAAACTCTCTATTTAATATTTTACATACTTGCTATCTGTAAATATTTACCTTATTTTAAAACAATCGAAAGAGAAATAGAAATCCGCAGCCACGTTTCAATATAAATAAATTCCGGGCTAGAACGAGTTTGCTATTGAATTCCTTTCTCGCATGAAGACAATGTAATGCATCCGACCGCGCAGGAAGCTGCCCTATTGAGCTGCATCATTTTTAATATGCATTCCGTAATACTTGCGGAGTTTTATCACACTTGTATGCTCGTTAAATTAATTTAACTTTCAAAAACGTGAAACATTTTACCGACCGATCCTTTTTCGATAATGACCTCTCCTAGATGGGAGCGGTCATTATCGAAAATTGCTTTTGCAAAGTAACTCGCTATGCGCTTTCTCGTCGTAATTTAGAACGCTAAAATCTCTCATTGCAATACTCCATCTTAAGGTTCTGCAAAATGTACAACAACTACTTATCAATTCCAACGTACCTTATCGCATTCCATCTTCATCCAATTTGTTTGAGTTACTCGTAGCCCAATCAGGTGGTAGAATACGGGTCTCACTCATAAGTGTCACGGCAGGTTCGTAATAGTTCGTAGTACAAGTATCTAGACTCCAGCCTCAAGTAAGCTACGAGAATTCAATTTCAGGGCATCGAGTTGTCCACTCAGTCCGATCAAGTTTACCGTAGCCGCAATTTGTAGCGAGAACAACATTCGTAGAATCCGTAGCAAGACGCTACTGAACCTAAATACACACTGAAAATCAAAGTTAAGAACTAAGGCTCGAGCTCACCAACAGACTTTATTCATAAATTGCTTTAGTAAGTACCCAAAAAGAATCTTGTAGGATCATATTTCACATTTGCAAGTGTTTAACACTTTTTCTCGCAGGTAAAAACATTTTTAGTCAGCGAGTATGGGAGAATGTATCTCTCACTGTAACAAAGTTTTTTAATCCGACGTCCACATTATGTTTGTCATTCAGAAAGTGAACGCAACATAAAAGCGGCACAGGAAGTTGCAAAAAAAGGAACGAAACTGCTACGGCAGAATAACACTGTTTATCTTTATAGTTGTGAACTATTAAGGTTACTTCTTAAAATATCGTCGAAAAATTTACTTCAATCAACTAAGCCCTTTGTTGGTGAACTCTGCTAGGTATAACAAATGGTACTTACTCATATCTTCCGTTTCATCGTCGCGGTCAGACGTCTTGTCCTCGATTTTCTGAAAAGCCGAAAGCTGCATTAGAATAATAAAACTGCACATTATTTATGTAACAGATACTAAAAATATTACATGCATAAAACATAAATAATATATTCTAACTTGCAAAACTAACCGCAAATCTAAAAGAGACTTTGAATGACGTTGTTCTACAAATCTTAAAAGCTTCTAAAATTATAATACAACGAATAAAACACAAATACAGAAACTTGTGGTTCCTGCAAATCGCATCGTCATTTTTAATGCACGAAAGAGAGCTGGCGATTCCTGTCACAAATATTAATTCATCTACAGTCCCAATGACGATTCGTCATGAAACTCTGTTACAGTCAGCGGTTAGCTTCGGTTCGAGTCTAGTCAACTGCAGACTGAAAAATATTTACATTAGTACTCGTAATATACCTAATATAATTGCAGTCTAGAATATTGTAAGGGCAATCCACAAACAACCATAATATTAATTGCCAGAGATATATTGAAAGCCATCCACATTCTCACAATTGCGTCGTAATCTACACTAATATTATAAATGCGAAAGTAACTCTGTCTGTCTGTCTGTCTCTCTTTCACGCCTAAACCACTAAACCGATTTTATGAAATTTGGCATAGAGATAGTTTGAGTCCCGGGAAAGGACATAGGATAGTTTTTATCCCGGTTTTAATAAAGGCGATAAAGTTTTTCTGTGACAGACAAAATTCAACGCGGGCGAAGCCGCGGGCGGAAAGCTAGTAATAAATAATTAACTTTTACATCGCAATAACAGTAAAAGGCATTTCATATACCTATGTATAATAATATGAAAATCCTAAGAGGGTGGCATTCAGCCTATAAATAACGCAAAAACAAGGCAAAGCCTAAATTTCGCTCACATAAAGTCAATTTATTTACCTTTGACTTAAAATAATTTATTAAACGACAAAAACATTATTACAGAGCATTCTCTGTGGAGCCATCTACAGTTTTCAATTTTCTTTCAGATTAACCAATGTTATTTTACAAGTCTATTTTTTTGTTTATTGTAATTTATTGCGTTAATGCAATATCTACTGTTTAATATTCACGATATGATTTACAGTTACGCAGTGCCAAATACTTAATTATCTCTTTCATCACAGCTTCATCAAAATTTGGCAGAATGGAAGCCATTATCTTTAACGGTGCTATATTTATAATATTTATGATTATGGTTAATAATAACTCCATTTTGGTTTGAGTGCGATAATGGCTGACTGTTTTGATTATGATGAACTGCCTTTTAATTGGCAAATATTACTCCGTTATACACTTACAATTTGAGTATATCAAACAATTATTTTGTGAAAGTTAAGTAGGTATTATGATGTATCGACAAGATATCCAATCGCACATAAAATATGAACTAAGGTTGTCCAAAGTTCACATTTTAGTGGCTCAAGAAGTTAACAAAGAAGTTTCCAGAATTTTCCACAATACAATATCTTACTCTGCGATCTACCTGCGACTTGTCGGGATAAGTACGTCTGCTTACACGTGTATGGCCAAATGTATAAAATTTTAATGGTAACGATTCGACTAACAATTCGTTGCGTAGCGTAGACGAGCCCGACAAAAGGCAAGACAAAGATCTCTTCGCTAGCAATGTCTAAGGCTGAGTTGCACCACTTAACTTTGATCGTAACTATAACAACCGGTGTTTTTTGTATGGAGTATGACAGATTTTTGACGTTTGTTAAAGTCAAAGTAAGATGGTGCAACCCAGCCTTAGTCATTAAAATGTATGTAACTTCGGGTGAGACAAGTGCGATGCTGCCGATAATGTAACTATTATTAATATTTATCTCTAAGCGAAGCCTTTGTTGAAAGGCTGTCTGAAAAGATTTTTAATATTAAAATTTATACTATGAACACGGGCTCTGAAATTTTATTAGGTAAGCAGCTTACCTATTAGACACTGGCAGAGCTGTTTTTCGGCTTTTATATTTGTAAACAAACATTTTTAAGCCTACTTAAATGCTTAACATTTATTTTTCAGTTTAATACGGTTAATATTTTTATAGTAGTATTTTTGTAGTAACTATCATACAAGTTTTCAAAAAAGCTAGCCCCTATTGAATGGAATAGAAAACGAACAGAAATTTTCAGTGCCTACATACTTTTCTGTAGAAATTAAGCTAGAATAATCTGGAAAAGTTTGGTAAAACCAGGGTTTGGTAAAACCAAAATTTATGATATACAGTGTGTCCGGGCATGTAGTGATCAAACTTTAAGGGCGTAATCTATGGACAATTTTACCGGTGAAAATACTTTAAATTTGGGGCTTGACCCATTTCTCGCATATTTACAAGGATTTAAGTTTTTAATTTTAAGTTTTCACCTTTTCCTTCAAAAACAAGTGATAGCGTGGGTAACTTAACATTAATAAGCAAATAGTTATTTAATTTTTAGCGTTAAGAGTCGCATCTCAAACTAATTTGAAAATTATAAATAACTTGAAAAAATGGGTTCAATTCCCGCCTTAGGCAGTTCGATTTTTTCAAGTTATTTATAATTTTCAAATAAGCAAATATTTTATATCATGCGATAGCCAGTAAAATTATCTATTAGTAGAAGTAGAAAACAGATACAAGTTTCATACATTTTAAGGGAGTAAGAATGGATTGGATTTAATTAGAAATAAACATGATTTTTTTCACACCTTTTTCAGCTATTTCCCAACACAAGAAAAACCAGGTCGTTAAGGTATGTTTTATTTGCATTGTATTATTAGTATTTGAGCCATTCTACAAAACGAATGTAAATTTATTAGTCTACGTCTATTAGTTTCGACGTAATTGTTGAACAGAGATACCCATTCCCAGCGGTTTCCATAGTAATCGGAATAGGTTGTGTACGAGTAATTCTTTCAGGCAGTGCATTTTCGCATGTCGCGTGCGCTATGGAAACCGCTGGGAAGGGGTATCTTTGTTTAACAATTACATCGAAACTAATAGACGTAGACTAATAAATTTACATTCGTTTTGTAGAATAGCTCAAATACTAATAATAAAATGCAAATAGAACATACCTTAACGACCTGGTTTTTCTTGTGTTGGGAAATAACTAAAAAAGATGTGAAAAAAATCCTGTTTATTTCTAATTAAATCCATTCTGACACCCTTAAAATGTATAAAACTTGTATCTGTTTTCTACTTTTACTAATAGATAATTTTATTGGCTATCGCATGATAAAAAAATTTTTGCTTATTAATGTTAAACTACCCACGCTATCACTTGTTTTTGAAGGAAGAGGTGAAAACTTAAAATTAAAAACTTAAATCCTTGTAAATATGCGAGAAATGGGTCAAGCCCCACCGATAAAATTGTCCATAGATTACGCCATTAAAGTTTGATTACTACAAGCCCGGACACACTGTATATCCGACATATAACGGATATATATCATAATATCAGATATATATCATAAGGATATTTTCGAACCATGGGTAAAACACCGCTTGTTTTCAGCTAGTGTACACGACATTTTCCCATCCAAGTCGCAAATTAAAAATTCGGGAAAACTATCAATGGAAAAACTCCGGACAAATGGCAACCCTAAACGTATCTATATTTGTGATTACTTTATGGAACCTGAGCCATTGCCGTGTCTTTGAATACATTCAAGTTGATTGATGATATTTGCAGACTCCTCGCCGGCACTGCTCGGGGGTATCAGGCTGAGATTATGGCAACACTAGACGTAAGGACCCTTCTTTGATGCAATGCATACAACACAATTTAAATTGTTCTATGTCCGATTTGGCTTTCATTTCGGTAAAATGGAACAGGACCACCCCTCACCCTTCGCGTGGTTTGATAAAAGGCGACTAAGGGATAAAGGGAGGCTCCCTAAACCGTCTGGCTAGAGCAGCGTTAGGAGTGTAGGCCAACTCTTTCATTTGCCTTTGTAAAATGGAGAGGCTGAGTTGTATTCCCATTTAGAGACTAAACGACCTAATGACGATGATGTCCGATTTAATTAAACTACTACATCAGGTCACTTTACTTAGACAACATGCAAACAAGTAAGTCAAGCAAACAAGCCAAGCAAACATGACTATACCAAGATCCACGGTCCAAAGAATTGATTTGCAGTACCTCTAGACTAATTCAAATCCAGCATTCAGGTTTATCAAACTGAAGCTTGCAGTTTAACGAACGCTAATTACTTGAATACAAATATTGGTTGAAGAGTAATATGCATTTTAACTGATGAAGTTTACATTCTCTTAGGCAAAGAGTAAAGTTTTATACTTCAAAGTCTACAAAATCGACTATTTGAATTAGAGCTATAATATAAATTTACCAAGCAGATCAATTAATAAAGATCTGCCTCAAAATAAACAAACGCGTGGTTAACAGCGTATGAACGCTATAATATTTTGTCATACGTTTCATTAGTACACCGACACCTGCGTAAGAAATAAAGAAAAAAAGATTTTATCATCGGATATGATAAAACAAAGACAACACACACGTATCACAAATAAAGCAGTGGAAAAAGAGTGATGAAAGCAATGTCACAAACATTGTCCCTATTGCAATGTCCAGTATAAAATGATCTCACTCAGTATCAAGTGCAAACTCAGTGATGTAAATGACACTGGTTTACAATGGTTCCAATTCTAAATACGAACTTTTATTAACTAAAAACAATATAGCATCAACCATAAACAGTTTTACGGCACTTCCCGCACCAGTTTAATCGCTAACACTTGTCAACATAAACGCACACTGTCTGCACTCGAAAAAACCTTGGACAATCAACTCGATTCAGATGTCAACTATAATTAGATCTCAAACCTTTAATCAAGCCGATAAACACCGCTAAGTGGACATTAAAGAGATCGCTTTATTAGTGCCTGTCATCTTGAAGGTGATTGAAAGAAATTAGAGCAAATCAGTAGTTGTTTGGTATTTTTGTCGACAGCTATTTTAGGTATCTGTTGGTATCATAGTGATTGGTGGTGGCCATAGACATAATCTGCGTTTGCGGGTT